TAATTCTATTCGGGATAATAATAAGAATTATTGATTTTAATAAAGAAAAAGTCTCATTGTAAAAAAATAATTTTTAATCAATCAGCTGTTAAATCGCTTCGGATTGACTATGCTAGCTATGAATCCAGTCCAATTCATTTTTTTTAAAATGAAACCATTCTATTTTGCTCAATTTCTTCTTGTACGGTGGCACTTTTAAGTATTTCCCATCTTGGGTCGTCTGGCGGTAAACTTTTAATAAACTTTCTGGCTAAATTACGGTAAAATTGAAATTTTAGTAAAGTCGAGAATTCCGCCAATTTTTCAGGACATTTGAGCCAATTTTTATCTTTCACTATAAAAAAAAAAGAATGCGTAAAATTAAAAAGAAAGAAAGAGTTTTAATAGAGAAAAGAAGGGATATAATATAAAAATATATATCCCTGATTTCATTGAGAAGTAAAGAATTTTTTTAACATCATTCCTAATAAAACAAAAAATAGGAAAATTTTTTCTCAAGCCTGAAGCTGCTGTTGACTAGGGTTGGATAATAACATGAAAGCAATTCATTACGATTGCCTCAAGGGCACATCAAAAATTTTGAAAGAACTTTTTAAACATTTTGGAAATCTTATTTTTTTGTTAATTATTTCAGATGGATTTTCTATTTGGGGCTAATTTTCGAAGGAAATTTTAAGTGGTCAAAACTAAACAAAATATTTAAAACATAAATTGATTTATAGAGATACATATTTTATTTACTGAACACTATTTCAAAAAATGAGCTTTTGACATATTTTATTATGCAATTTCATTAAAATTATGTTTGAAAATAGTATTTTATCACCGCGAATTCGCGTTAACTGTAAATGCAGGGTAATGCATTCATTGTCATAATTTATGAACAGTATGCAGGCGTATTTAATTTTTTTAAATATGCTCGGGCCGGGCCTAAGAAAAATTTTTTTTAAAAAAACCCAGACTGGGCTATATATTTTAAAACTAAATATTTTAAATCGTCATTTATTATCTATAAAAATTATATTTATTTTTAAAAAATCCGAGCTTGGCCGGGCTGGGTATTGCAAATGGTATCTCTGCAGGTCTCTTAGAATATTAAAGTAATATTTTAATAATGGCATTTTAGTATACTCTTCGGATGTACTAAGGGTTTTCTGGATTTTATTTCTTTGGATAAGTCATAAAATAGATTTCTTATCTTCTTAAAATTATTCAAATTTTGTAATAACATATTTTACCCTCTTCATCTATGGTGATTGTTGGCATTTTACCCACTAGATGTTATAATTTAATAAAACTTTTATAATTTGGGCATCGTTGGAATCAAGATTATTGTTAAACTCACACAATTGCCTAATTTATCAAGGCATTTTCTAATACTTATTAGAATTAGATAATAGGAATTTGAATTGGAACTCAAAATTTTGGTCAAATTAGAGAATTTCCCGAATTATCAAGAGCCCAAATTTGACAAGGTTTATTGCATATGAAAATAAAAATGGTGGTTATTTTGAAATTTCCATTAAGATTTTTGCAATTGAGCCAATTTTATAAATAGGCTAACTCTATATTTTATTCAGAAAAATATTACGCAAACCTAAGATTTTGCTCCTAGGTGGAACAAAGATTTGGACATCTAATAGCTAAATATCAAGGCTAGCCATAATTTTTCTGGCTAAAATATTGAGATAATCGTTTTTAAAAATCCGCTCAAATCGAGCCGTTTCAACACTATCGATAATTTTTATTATTTTATTTTCATTATTTTATATAATGTTTTTTTAGTATAAGATTATGGTTTGTGAGCCATAATTACCATTGGTTATCTTAAATTTATTTATCAATGGTTGGTTGAATTTTTTTTTATTTTTTTTGTTGATTGATATTTTTATTATCGAAAACCATTGGTTGTTAATTTTTACACATATTTTTTTTTGAATATTTTGTTGAATGATATTATTATTATAGAAAATTATTTAGCCATTTTTTGTAAAAAAGATAAATAAAAATGAGTTGGGCAGGATTAATGTTGTTAAACAGCTTCGTTTTGAGCCGATTTTTAAAAACGGCTAACTCAATATTTCATCCAGAAAAATATGGAAGCCTGAAGATTTTGCTCATAGAAGGAACAAAGGTCTAGACATATACAAACGAACTCGTGACTTAGGCAAAATTTTTCTGGCTAAAATATTGAGTTAGCCATTTTAAAAAATCGGCTCAAAATGAGCTGTTTAACAACACTAGACAGTATAAATTTTAAATATAGGGAAGGGCAAATTGGGTAAAAAAAATTTATGGATTATATAGACGTCATGCAGATTTGTAATTTAGATACCATTTCCAATTGTTTTTCTTACTTAGATTTAGTGATGTCAAACGGTCCATTTTTAAAAACGAGTAACCCAATATTTTAGCCAAAAAATATTTTGCAAGCCTGGGAATTTTGCTCAAAGATGGTATACAGGTTTGGAACATCCATTAACGAAATCCCGAGGTTTGCTTATAATTTTTTTGGTTAAAATATTGGGTTAGTCGTTTTAAAAAATCGAGCTCTTTAACAAAACTACTTAGATTGCATACTTCAGCTCATATCATTACTTATAAGCTTTATTTCTAATTACATAATCTCTGAGCATACAACTTGAATCTTTATTTTAAATATTAATTTTTCAAAATTGAAATATAAAAATGTAGGAAATGCTTGAATATAAAACATTTTTAAAGATATACAATAGATTAAATTTATTCACTTCTTTAAATAAATATATGTTTCTATGAAATCTCCCATAACCTGGGACCTCCCAAATATAACATATTTTGTTTTGAAGTCACGCCAAAGACGCTAGACTGGTTATTTATGCTTCTAGGTCCACAATAAAGTATAATATTATTTTCAAATATTTAAATATTTATTCTCACTATTAAGAAATTTATTAAAATTTAAAAATTATAAAAAATCTAAAATAAATACATTTAAAAAAAAATATATTAACATTTGAATAATTCGTTTTGAAAAAAAAATATGTGCAAAAATTAATGGTTTTCGCAATGCAATGACACATTATAATACCTAGACTGACAATGTATTCATAAAGTGTATGAAAAACAGGGACCCTACCCGTTCTTTTTCAAATAACATATTTTCAAATAACATCAATCTGGATCATAAAATTGGGATAATAATGTATGTTGTTTTAAAAAATTAGAAAATATATAGTAATTTTTAACATGAGAATATTTACTATATGGGTTACCAAAATGGCAGGTTCAGCTGATGTATTCAACGACGCTTTCAAATGCATTATTATGAATGCATCGTTAGTCTAGCTATTATTACATGTCATTGGGTTTTCGATAATAATATCATTTAACAAAAAAATATAAATAAAATTCAACCAATCATATGACAGATAAATAAATAAAAGATAACCAATGGTAATTTTATGGCTCACAGACCATTATCTTACCGTTTTTTTATAATATTATTATTTTTGAATTCCTATTTTTAAATAAATTTTATATAAAACAATAATGTCTTAACCCTTATCAGTTATCACTGTCATTCGTGTTTGTACCACAAAATAAAAGCCCTTGATGAATGCAGTGGTACAAAACGTAACTTTTTTGTTCTGTTAATTTTAGTTATTATAAGTGCTTGAAAAATATTTTTTGAAAACTTATAAGTTGTAACTTTCACTTTGAGACATATATTATTTTTAAACCCATGGCATAATAGGTTAAAAGAAATCATTAATAAATTCTACGAAATTACAATTAACAGGTAATTTGGCCTTCAATTTATTGAGGAAATTCCTTGTAACATTTTTAGAAAATTTTTGCGATAATGGAGTATCTATGCCACTTCTATATTCCTTGAATCCTTTTATAAAAGCCCTGATGACATCTGCCGCTTTTCGTCTTTTTTTCCTCAAACGTTTTGCTAGCCATCTTCTAATATATTTCTGCGTTATTATAGCTAATATACACAATATAAAAAAATGATTTGTCATCTTTAAATAAATAAAAATTCTTATCAAAGGCATCGCTAGGACGGGGAGGGCACCTAAAATATCTTTTTGAGTCGGCTCACTGTCTTAAATTTAAAAGATTGTACAAAACGGAGTCCTAATTTGAAAGATCGAAACCAAGAGCGGACTAAACCTATAACCAATGGGAGAGTCTAGACTGGACCGTTGACCTTACTGAGCAAGCCTTTGACTTTTTAGCTCTCCTAAACTATAAATACTAGTGACGCAATTATAAATAAATTATATTTCTAATATAAAATATAACCATTTTTTCTTAATTTTTTAAATATTTTTAATTGATTGTAAGCTTTCCATAACGCTTTGACATTCGTTATAAATTGATTCTTGATTTTGAGTAATTTTTCTTCAATCATCATAATTGATTTGGCACCTCGTATGAATATCTGAATATTATATTTAGAAGTTTTAACAAAAAATATAACAAATAAAATAACAATATAATATTTATTAATTCCTAATAGCAAATATTTAAATCATTTTTTGAACGCTTTTTTTTAAATTTAAAAATCTGATTTTGTCATAAATGTATTCCATCATGTTTGGAATAGTACCTATCCTATGAATTTCAGAATTTTGCCAATTTTTTGAATTATTATTTTAATTTTACAAAATTTAAAAAAAATAATAGAATTTTTTCATATAAATTACCTATATAAATAAATTTATTTATCTCAATTATTTTTTAAAAATAAAAATTTTTGTAAATAATGAAATGGTTTTACATTAAAAATAGCTTATATTATTATTTTCTTCAAAATTAATAATTTATTTATTTATATTTTTGATATTTAGGACTCAACCTTAAGTAATTTTTTTTTAATTTTCAAGTATTAAAAATCTTTCAAAATGAAATGACAAAATTTTTATTAAATAAATCTATTCTGGAAATAATTGTTAAATTGCTCACAATATATTTTCTATGGGATTTTTACAAATTCTAACACTGATATTTCAATTGGTAATAACGCCTTTTATTTTTAAACTCACTTTCGTTTTGCCGAATTGATAATCTTCATTCACAACAAAACTCATACCGTCTAATATATCTGTTGTAGCTGCTTTAGGATCTAAGTGGGCATATTTTGGAAATGTTTTCGGACAAGTTATGTAATACCGTTTGTTAAATAAATTATATGGACGTCTGTACGCATATCCCGATCTGCACACACATAAACTTTCCAGCAAACCCAAATATCTAATCTAAATAAATTTTTTATTATTTAAATTAAAAGTTATAATATGAAATGATAAAACCCACTCCGATTATTACGTTTCCATATGATTTAAAACTAATTAAATTTTTATATTTTAGAGTTTTAAAAGAATTCAAGATGTATTTTATAAGTTCAAACACTTCTTAACAGATATTTAAATGATTATTTTATTTCCTCCCGCGGTTAGTCTATTAACAAATTATTATTAAAACGGGAAAGAATTTCAATAATATACTTGATTTTTTATCATGTTCTGATCATATGTTTTTGGTGCTTTTATGTCGTTTGGTTTTAAACATCTTATATAATGGAGGTCATCCTGTATCAGTACATCGATCAGTTTTTGCAAACTGCTCTTAAATTGCGTAGCCTCGGTATCAGGTCTTTTTTTAACATCTAAATCAACTTCCGTAAAACATTTTGACAGAATGGAATGTTTCGTTTCTATCAAAACTTTTTTCATATTTCTTTACGTTTTTAAAATATTTTAACGAATATTTTTATAAATTTATCATCGGCTGAGTAATATAGCCTTCTATTTCCATTTTTTTTAAAATTCGTTCAGGAAAGAAATCAAAAAAAAATTACTTGTTTAAATAGGAAATTACCAATCATGAAACAAATAATTATTCTCAACTATATTTTAACATTTTTACTGTGGTTATAAAGAATATAAAAGCATTTTGCAACAAAGTAGATATAGAAACATTATAATAACCTAACCGAATATGTGTATAAATTTTACTATCTAAAAAAGAAAGTTGTTTTTTTATGTAACTATTTTTATTTAAATTGAGCCAGTTTCTGATTGGACTGGGGTTATTGGACTGGTTTTTAGACCTCTATTATATTCTACTATCCAATAAAATTTACCGTTAGCTAAACCTGACAAAATTCATTATAATCTGGGGGCATATAATGTCCTAGCCCATGATGGAATGCATATAATACAAGATCATCGTGAAAATTGCTAATGCGAGATAGGTTATCATTGTAGTCACGATATAAACCCGTTTATGACATTTCCCATGAATCCAAAATTTAAAATGGTGAAATGGAAAAATGTTTGAAATATTATATCATTCAATATTATATACAAGTAGGAAGTAGAAGAGAAAATATCTTTCGAAATATTATACATAGTTTTCGAATAAATATTGTGATAATGTAAACTTAAGCTTATTAAAAGAATATATTTATTTATTTATTTATAAGATATATATACCTGTATAATAAATCTTTATTTTTTTCTAAAAAATTGGTAATGTTATAAGTGACGGGTCCAGCGTAATGTGTAATGGAAAAATCAGTTCTTCCTAGAGCCTTCCTTAACTTAGGATCCTTCGTTAATCTTAATGTTATATCAAATTAAAAATTAGATTTAGATTTAAAACCTTTATAAATGATTTACAATCAATTATTTCCATATTATATTGAATCTAAAAAAAATAGGGAGTCGAAACGCTTACATCAAAGCCAAACATTTTTTTTTGGAAAAATCAAAAAAAAAAATAAACTCTTTTTTTCCCCATCGATGTCACTGTATTATAAATATTTATTTTAATAATGCCATCTTTCTAATTTGTGCATTGCCCGGATTTTTTTTTAAACTCAAATTATCATAGAAGAATTCCGAAGGATTGAAATATTTTTTTATACTCAACAAATTGCCACGGATCAGGACTGTAGCCAGAAAGTTTCAGGTAGGGTGAGGGGACATTTATTTCAATATTTTTTTTAGAAAAAAAAATTGGATACCAAGTTTATGGGGCCAAAACAATTTTTCCCTCACCTTAGCTACGGTGGCTGCCATTGACACTTAAATAAATTAAATGTAATTATTACATTTTTATTTATTATTAAGTGGGGAAGAAGAATAAAAAATTAATTTTGTAACATCTACTTTTGCATGGTAAATTCGATATTTTTTTTAGAAAAAAAAATTGGATACCAAGTTTTTGGGGCCAAAACAATTTTTCCCTCACCTTAGCTACGGTGGCTGCCATTGACGCTTAAAATTAAATTAAATGTAATTTCTTATTACATTTTTATTTATTATTAAGTGGGGAAGAAGAATAATAAATTAATTTTGTAACATCTACTTTTGCGTGGTAAAATATTCGAAGGCTTTAAAATTTTCTTCTAATTTTTGCAGAAACGTTTCGTCAGTTCGGTTACCGGGTAAAATGCCTATTAAAAAAATAAATTTTAATATAGAGGGGAAAAAAAATTTTAAGAATGATAAATATATAATGTTATGTACATTCTTCGTCCAAACTCGATATTACCCCATTTTTTTCTTCGATAAAAATCAATATAGGTTTATTGTTGAAATAGTCTACAGTTTCCCATTTGATTCCCTCTCTAAAAATAAAATTTAATTCATAATTATATTAATAGTAAAAAAGTTATATGAAATATACCCAAGAAGGGTTATAAAAACAAATTTATATAAAAATTAGACTTGAATGAGATTTTTTTTAAACTATAATATTCCATTGTCTACTATATTTCATTTTCTAATGCTTTTTTTTTTACTTATTCAAAAAGCCACCTTTTTAAAAACTCATAATTTATCAAAATTATAACTGTTCTAAAACCATATAAAAACTGAAATAAATTATTCGTTATCGAATTGAATTTTTACGAATACAAATAATAATATCTTTGATTCGATTTATGAAAAATATTGTCCGCCGAGGAATTATAGTCTCCTTGTTAATCGATCTAATAATTATAAAAATTATTAATATTCCTTTATTCCTATTATTTAAATATATTTGTAATTATTCCATTTTATTCAAAATTGTATGAGAATATCTGAAATTATAATGACAAAAATTCATACATTAAATATTTGAATTTATATTTTTGAAAAACAAAAAAAAAACCTAGAGATTGGAAAATCTTCAAAATATTTGAAGATATTGTTATTGAAGAAGAGATTTTTTTGATCAAATTTTATCTATAAATGTCTGAATTTTTTTTATAAAAAATCCTTTATGTAATTTTCATGCATAACAGAAGATCATGATAAAAAAAATTAAACTTATTTATTAGTCTTAAATAAGACCTGCCAAGATATATTGACTTGGCGTTTTCATTCTTTCGCGAATTATTCCAAATAAAAAGATAATTCTCAATTTATAGCCCTTTTTCTAAAGTTTTGGGGGATAAAAATCCTCTACTTTTAGCTCCAAAATGATCTATTTGAAAATAAAATTGAAATTGAACTTCTTTAGAGATATACGATTAATAATTATTATGAAAGAAAAAAAAATGTGCAAATTAAAAATAAGCTCAACATATGTTTTAAAAAACAATAATTCAAAACTTTATGTAATGAGGAAGGGATTTATCAAATAATTAAAATTTAAATATATAATAAAATAAATAAAATTTTTCATAAGCAGACCTAATATATTCTTCTTGTTCTAGTTTAAGGGTACGTTCCACAAAGAGTTGATGGAGTTTTTCATTGCAATAGTTGATACAAAGCTGCTCAAAACTGTTATTTTGGAATATTTCGAAACCGTATATATCTAGTAAACCTATAATATAATAATTAATTATTCCATGCTATTTGCGAATAAGAGTTTCCTTTTTTAATCATATAAATATGGTGCGATAGCATGAAGAAATATATTATATACAGGCGCGTTAGTCAGTACTTTTCAAATATATAAATTAGAGTAAAGTATAGAATTAAATATTATATGATAATTTAAAAAGTTAATCAAAATATCATCAATCAACGAAAATTTTATCTTTGCATTTGCACAATTTTTTAATAATTAGTTCCATATGGGGATTAAATGTATATTAAGTAAAGTAATTTCAATAGATTTTAAGATGTTGTGCTCTTGAGGTCAGTTTTTATCCATAATGAAGAAAAGGTCCTCTCATTTGTGTTTGTAATAATAGGTATTGTTGCCAAAATATCCACTCATTTTAATATATTTGGAAAAAACTACATAATATATTTTAAATTATGCATTGCTTCCATTGCGTTTCTGGGAAGATTATCTACTAAAATTAATCTCTCATATCAGGATTTAAATTCTGTATTTAGATACATTTATACCTCTGAATAATATTGAGCTAAATATTTAATTTTTTCAAAATCAAGATTTAATATATCCTCAGAAGTATTTATAGGTAATATTTTTTTGTAAATTGGATAGAGCAATTTAATCCAATCACAAATAGTTAATTGATTTGAAATGTATTCAAAATTGAAATAAAAACGGCTATTTTTTAATAATTCTCTTGAGTCCATGTTAATATGATAACTATTTTTTGTCTAGGTACAAGTCTAGGCTTGCAATTTTCAAAATCATATAATCTTGCCTACACCTCAACAAACCTGTATAACTCGTGAAATAATCGATTATCTCTAAGTTATAATATAATATTATTCTGGATTCGCGTATTATCATCCAATTCCATATCATTTATTTGAAAAATACTGATTAAAATTGTGGTGTATTGAATAACTTATTGATACATTCCAATCAAATAAATCGACTATCGTTTTGAATCAAATAATGTACGTGCTTCATAAAATATCTGGTTCAAGCCTTTTTAATATTTATCCAAGGGTTTTCAAAATAGGCTTTTTTAAATCGAAAATACTGTAACAGCTTGATTGTCGAAGATATTTGTCAGGCATGCTTTTTGCAGTTTTTTATTCTTGTGACGCAAGAAGTCTTAATAATTCAATCCAAGAAATTATGTCTCTTTATATAAAATTTTCTATAATTATGTTTTGGAAATTTTGTTTAATTTTATTATGTCCAAAATCTTTTTTAAAAGTTTCAAAACTTTGGCAAATTTTAAAATTATATTGAAATCGTATGTTAAATTTTTGAAATTATTATTTTCTACAAGACATGTTTTTATTTTTAAATTTAAAATAGCTTTATTTATTTATTTTTATCAAAGTTTCGATAGTTTATGGATTTAATTTTTTGCTATTTTGGACGCAGCATAAAATAACTTATTTATTTATTTTCATTTAAGTTGCGAAAGTTTGTGAATTAAATTTTTTTTTATATTTTAAAAATAGCCTTTAAAGTGGTGTCTTTCTGAGACTGTGTTTAAAATATCAAAAAATACAATTCACATTGAAACTTTGACGAAAAAAAGAAGAAATAAGCTTTTTCTGATATAAAAATAAAAACATGTACAAAATGTAATTCTACAAAATTTCAACATACGATTTCATTAAATTTTTTCAAGGAATTCAAACTGATCAAGCCATATCTCACCCCCAAATTCATTTTATATTATATACATGCATAATATTCTATATATGTAAGGCAAATTAATAAAAATATTGTTAATGAAATCTGTAAAATGTGATAATGGAGGGAGCCATTCTGTAATAGTAGAATATTTTTGATTTTTTTACATGTACCAATTTTTATTTAAATAGATCTCTTAATTGATCACAGTGTTTTACCTCCACACTTTGATTGTCCATTATTACCGAACACAATTTTTCCCTAAATTTTTTACCTCTATTCCCTTTTATTTTTTCATTTTTCCATACATTCTAATCCACACTAATTTACGTTGTATTTCACTTGATCATTATTCTCCTGAATCTCAAATATTTATGGGGGTCTAAACATATCTAAAAACGTATTTATTTTTATGCCCGATAATTTTTTCATCAGGTGATTTGCCATCATTACATAGCATTATTATAATACAACTGCAATATCCACATCTCCACTCGGTCTTCTCTAGTTTTTATTAACCAATTTTTTACTATAAGCCACCACTATCCTCTCAGCCTGCCCATTAAGATAATATGGTGGTTCAACCATATGTTCTATATTTAATTTCACACAAAAATTTTTAAATCCAACACTTATAAAAGCTGGACCTCCATAAGATACAATTATATTCGGTATTCTAAATCTTGAAAATATTTCATCACCGTTCCCGTTGTTAATTCACGTACTTCAGCAAACTCTATCCACTTCGAAAAAGAATCAACCATCAAAATAAATTTTTTCTCTTCCCATTCAAAGAAATCCAAGTAAATTCTTTATCATGGTCCTATATATTTACTAGCTTATTACAACTCAAATTGCATTTTTCAATTTTAAAATTTAACAAATATATATCCATAAGAGGGCATTAAATGCATAAATATGAAAATATCATCTTAGGAAACCAGAATAATTATTGATTAACGTTTTTTTTATATTTGGGTGTAAATAATGTGGAAAACCTAAAAATTAAAAAAAATGATAGGTTTCTTTGATATTTAATTTATGAGTAGTAAAACATTAGATAATTTGTAAGGCACATATTGCTGGCGTTATCCATGGAAAATTCTTTGGTTTATAAGTGTATTTGTGAGGTAAGCATTATTAAAATATTTTGAAAATATTATGATTTGATCGATTGTCCAAATTTGCTTAAAATATCAATTGAAAAATATTCATTTTTGTATTATATGTCTATAAATGCGTGTAAAACATTATCCCAAAAAATATTATAAAAATATTGTGATTTGACCGAAAACTGATTTGAAACCAATGACTAAATAATGCATTGCTAGCGTTATCCATGGAAAATTCTTTATTTTTGATTTATACATGTACATTTACGTGGTAAGCATCCTAAAAGATATTTTGGAAATATTATGATTTGACCGAATGCTGAGCTCAAAACCGACCACTTATTAAATATTAGATCGACCAAATTGCTAGAAATATCAATTGAAAAATGTTCATTTTTGTTTTATATATCTATAAATACGTGTAAAACATTATAGCCAGGAATTTTATACCGAGGTGGGGAGAGGGTTCTAATATTTTACTTTCGAACACAATAAATAAAATATTGGAAAATACAAAATATTAAGTGCGAATAAAATAAGGTTAAAAAATTATATAAACCCATATGTAGATCCCAATACAATATAAAATTAAAAATTTTATGATGATTTATAGAGTAAGTGGTCGGTTTTGAGCTAGGCATGAAATCATTATATTTTCAAAATATTTTTTAGGTTAATTCGCAACACGTAAATGTACACGTATAAACCGAAAATAAAGAATTTTCGATGGTTAACGCCAGCAATGTAGTATTTAAATATTAAGTCGGTTTCAAATCGGTTATCAGTTAAATCACGATATTTTTTAAATACTTTTTGGGATATAACGAATTTATGATAATACAAAAATGAATATTTTTCAATTGATATTTTTAGCAAATTTTGTCAATTGAATATTTAATAAGTGGTCGGTTTTGAGCTCGGCATTCGGTTAAATCGTAATATTTTCAAAATATTTTATAGGATCATGCTTACCACACAAATGTACTTATAGACCACAAATAAAGAATTTTTCATGGATAACGCCAGCAATATGTGCCTTACAAATTATCTATTATTTTAAGACTCTAAACCTAATCATAAATTAAATATCGTAGAACAATATTTTTTTTAATTTTCAGGTTTTCCACATGTATTTACACCCAAATATAAAAAATGCGCTAACCAATTGTCATTCTGGTTTCCCAAGATGATATTTTCATATTTATGAATATAACGCCCTCTTATGAATATATATTTGTTAAATTTTAAAATTGAAAAATAAAATTTGAGTTGTAATAAGCTAGTAAATAAATTTTTTCTTCCATTAATATTAATTAAAAATAGAATTATAAATTATTTTATATCTAATATCAATTTTTTTATTTAATAAAAAGTTGATTTACGTATATTAAAAAAAAATGTTTCTGAAAATTATTATTAAACAAAATTGATTGATGATGACTACCGCTAAATAAGCTAGTGTTCAGTAATTTAATTTTTTATATCAGCAAGGTAATACTGGAATATAGGTATTGGAAATCCGCATCAGAATTAAATCGCAATTGTATCGGCGCATCTCGATGTTTAAAATTTAGCTTTTATTCACCAATGTAAACATTTACGAAAATTTGATTTATTAATTAAAATTAATATAGTGCATAAAAAACATTTTATATTTAACAATTTATTTAAACCTATTTTTCCGAAATAACATTTCATGTCAGCCTTCATAATCTTGTTTGTTCTCTCTACTAGCCAATTAAATGTTCTGGAAAAAATGGCTTTTGCCATAGAATCTTTAACAAATATTGCTTCTGCTTTAGTTAGGTCCTTATAAACGGTCTCTTTTTCGGTCTTAAATAAATTATAACATATAAATAGTATTATATTATTACTTTCACTTCTTTGGTACATATAGCTCCCGCTAAATCACTCTCAGAGCATTTTAAACATTCGCTAATCCATTTAAGAACTTTGGTACTCTCTATTTTAGATTTCGTTTTCTCAACCTCTGATATCTCCATTTCCCCCAGATGCAAAACAGCAGCTACAACTCCAAATAAATCCATAATTTCCTCTTCCGAAAATTCGCATACCTTAATTGTTTTTTAAATTGTTAAAAAACATTGTACAAGATAGGCAGTAATAATTTTCAGCCATGAAGTTCAATCTAAAAATCAAATTTAATCAATATTCAGACATAGGGCGGATAAAACAAAAAAACTAAAAGTTCTTTTCTAATTTTTATATTTTAATATATATTTTGCATTCAATGTCAATTTTTGTGACTAATTTTGCTGCTGGAATGGCCCAGACCACGATAATTTTGTCAAAAATATATCCCTTAAGTGTTATGACTTACTGTAGACGATATTTTGATCCAGAATGCATCAAAAGTAGCAAAAGATATGTATTTTGGAAAAAAAAAGCGTTTTTGGAACTACAACTCCAAATATATTAGGAGAGAAATATTTTTTCCGCATTTTACACTTTGTACAGGGTGCTACAATATCCATCTACAAATAATAATTATTGAAATTTGAAGTTTCATTAATAATTTATAGTGTTACCTGTAGGTTTGAAATAATGCCCTTTACTTTAAAAATGATACTTTAAAGGTTAAATTAATATTAATTATTCTATATCACGTATATACCTTCAATCCTTCATGAACCTCCTTAAAATCTTTAACATCGTCAATCGTTGAAACCTTGGCCGACTTTCCGTGACTAATAGCATTGTATTTGTCAGGGTTGGCTTCTAAATTTAAATGATCCAAGATAGGTTTGTCAGCTTTTAGCATCTTGTTTATTTATATAATCTATAATTTCTAAAGTTAAAATTTTAATCACGTATATACTTGATAAAATATATGATAGTTTCTTTCATTCAATGATTGGGAAATGGTTCTAGATTTCTCTAAAAGATAATTGGTAACGTTGGCACCTATGATAGACCCCATGGCATCGAATTGGAGCTCCATATATTTACCAAATCTACTTGAATTGTCATTCCTTATTGTTTTGGCATTGCCGAAAGCTTCTAGTATGGGCACAGAACTATTCAATTGTTTCTTAATTGAAATATTCGGTAAATATAAATTAGGATTATCATCTCAAAAAAAATAAAAATTTAATTTATTTGTATTTTTTTTTATCGTGCGATTATTACAATATTTGAGTAAATAGAGTTATAAAATTTCACATAGTCTAAAAAAGTTATAATTGATGAATATCACTTAATATTATCTATCATGTTAGCAAGAAGAGTCGAAATCTTAGTTTGTACAGATATTATTAACTATAATCACTCCTTATATAACATTAGACATAAAGAATTCAAATAAGATGGAAGTGACAAAATTCAATCGTGAAGATTCAGGATGCATCGAAATTTAACACGTGTAAAGAAACTTATCATTCTATATATAATATTAGACATAGGAATACAATAGAAGTCACAAAATTCAGTCCCACACAATAAAAATCAACAAATCAACTTGACATAAATAATCTCATTGGGTCTTCCTTATGTGTATTTGGATAGGGAATGCCCTGACTCAGAATGGAAAAAATATGTCTAATGCCAACATAACGAAAAGAATATAAATTATGCAACGTATATAATTATTTTTTTTGCCAAATTTTTAAAATGTATTTTTTTGTATATTATGAGACCTGACCTGCTGCAGATGTGTCAATTTTCAATCCGGTTCAGCCAATTATTATTCGACTAGCAGAAGTCTTTTAAATTTTGGATTTTATAAGTAATTAAGGAAATTTTGTAAATAATTTTATAAGTCAAATCGGGGTATATGGCTCGTCATCAACACCCTGCATATGTTGATTGGTCAAAAAAATACTCACTCAAAATAATCTAAAAACCTAACCTTCGCCATTTATTTTATATATTAATGTTTGGAGCAAAAACATGGTTACTTATTTCCTGTTTCCCCTATATAGTCGTATCTATTATTTGTATATTTTAGGTGTTTTGTATAAGGATTTCCAAAGAATAATTGACTAAGATATTAATAATATTATTTTCGATTTTTAAAGATGTTAAAAACAAATAATTAAAATTATTTATTTCTCGTATCTTATTTTTAAAGATGAAATTTGAGCAAATAACCTTTAATTTTATATTTAAAGTTTCCTTCCACTTGTTAAACTTGTTTTTATTTTATTATAATATATCTTAATTATAAAAAAAATAAAAAAATTTTTAAACCCTTATTCTATCAATATTGGTTGTTTGGTGACTTGTTGATGATATATACAAAAGTATCTGCTTCAAGCATTCCGTTTTACCAGCACCAGATTCGCCAGAAATAAGAACACTTTGCCTATTACTTTCGTTTAACAAAGACACATAAGCATTTTGAGATAAAGCAAAGATATGTGGTGGTAGCTCCAACAAGTTTGTTGTTTTGTATTTCATCATCATCTTCTTGCTGTGTATAGATAAAATCAAATTAAGAATAATTTTAAATATAAATATAATTCGAAATTTTTTTATGAGATAATATACATAAAAACCTGTGAAATACTAAATCATACAAAAATGATTTTAAAATTTGTTTTTTGATTTTGATTTTCTCTAATTTTTTTATGCCGATAAAAATTTAGAGAACATATTTAATAAATATATCATTACATTTTAAAATAAAATATTAATGAGGCTCTAAAATAAAATTTATTTCAAATCATTAAATACAGGAATTTCAAAGTCAAAACATTTTTTTACCAAAATATTTTTAATGCAAGACAATATCTAAAAAATAACAATCAAGGTTTTAATGTGTTTTCCAAAATAGAGTAGACCGGATAGTTATTAAGCAGGTATTTTAATTTCTAGCGGCAAAATTTTAATTTTGTTTTATAACATTATAATTATCATAAGATAGCCTCATCATTATAAAAAATTTAAGAAAACTAGGTCCTCTACTTGCTAAACCATGTTCCTATAAGTCTAAGCTTTGAACATAGAACAGGCAATCAGTTAATAGTGTCAAATTAGTTAAAAGGCATATTTGAATAAACTACCTTTTCCTCGCTCGATTACTTATGAGTATATTTACTACTGGTTTAATATCCATCTTAACAAAAACTAGATTGTGTTGGTTATTACCAGAGCCAATGACATGCACTTCCATCGTCCTCGTTAAGAATTATGTCGTGATGTTTGATCAAAACCCTGAGCTCCAATCAAGCTCCACTGTCACTCCGTCCAACCTTCCTCCTAATCCCACCTTCAATGCGTCTCATGTCACCAGTTATAACACCTCTCAATATTGATCAAAACCAGAAATTCAAGCTAACCCCACCACTCCTCTCCATCCATGTCAATAAATCTTAAAGAATATATCCTATATAAAAAGTACTTTTGTCTCGAAGCAAGAAAATACCAAATAAAAGATTAGTAAAAAGTGCTAAAATATTGTTAATCAATAACATTTTTGAATGCAGAGCCCTCGTCACTTAATGAACATAGTAGATAGTATCTATAAAAGTATATCTTTCGACAAATTTTGAAACAATTAAATCTATATATAAGCGTTATAGCCGTTTTCTTTTTTCACACCACCAGCCATATAGTTACGTTCTCTCTTACAATGATTATCTCATTTGGATCTTAAAAGCATGTATTGTGTCCTTTAAACTGTTATGAAGATGCAAGATTGGAAAGCTGATCGCATTCATAAAATCTTAATGAGTTGAATTTTTATTTTTATTTTTACTTTATTTATTTTTTAAATTGAACAAAATTAAAGAAAGCATAATGTAAACATGAAATATTTTTTTTTAAAGGAATACATCTATATAAAAAGGGAAAAATTAGTTTTAAAAAAAATAAAAAAGGTCTATTATTACTCGGAGGAGTTAAATGATAAAAAATAGATTGTAGGAAGACTCTTGAGAAAATCTTCCGTCAAATATAAAATCCCTCGTAAAAATAATTGATCAAAAGATTGCTTAAATTTATTAAATGCAGCCTAAAAAATTTAATTTTTTTAAAAAAGTAAATAGTATAACAAAAAAAAAGATAAATACCTGCATATGCCAGGTATCTTACGAAATGGATTAACGGATAATAAAATCTGGCCAATGTAAGTGTATATGTTATCATTGTCAAAACGCTTATGCAAATTCTCGTCAAACGCTTCTATGGATCTATAATCTTCTAGCAAAACAAAGTTATCGATACCAACTGTGTTTAATAATAGGTTTATGTCGATCGATTCATCATCCACCATCACAAGAAAATATTATGTTTTTTTTTTCAAAACGATTTTTCAAAAAAAAAATCCAAATCTTTAATTTTATTTGATTTAATAATAAAAATTTAGAATACACAATTCTAAGTAATTTTATTAAATCGTGAAGGTTTTCTATGACACAAATATATTTAGTCAGTCTACAATATTTTTCGCCCTGCATTAAAATGATTGGGTCTGAGCTGAGCATCCCATATATTATTCCGAAGATTCTATTTTTAAATCTGACCATCATTTTTATGCCTGACCAATTATTATTTTTCTTAACAATTCAATTTATAAAATGATCATTCGATATTATTTTTCTGAGTTTTTATGACTGGGCCCATATTTTGTTATAAAAAGCACCCGGTATTTTAGGTGAAATGTTTAACAGTTTCGAACCAGAATTCCTATAGAGTTGGCAGAATTAAATTGATTTAAATCAATTTTTTTTTGAGTAAAAATTACGATTTAAATCACTCATCGTTTATTTTAAATGCATATTAGTTAATTTTTAAAATAATCATCATTTTACTGGAATTTCCATATAGGTCTTTATCAAGAATGACTAAGTTTTATTATTATAATGATTTCTTATGCTGTGTTAATCCTTATATTATTATTATCTTTTATTCAATAAATTCCTAGCAAAAATTTATTTTAATACTTGAAATAACCTCTAAATGTATTTATTTCTGCCATGTTTAATAAGTATTGTTTTCAATATTTTGTTGGTTACGATTATAAGTATAAATAATTCTAGTTAATATAAAAATATTTATTAATATCAGAGCTGTCAACCTGAACCCATACATCTTTTTTTAAATTTAAGGTTTATAGGGTTGAAGAATTTTTTTTTAAATATTAAACTTTTATTTATTTTAAAAAATACATAAAAATAACATATATACAACTATATTAAAATTAATACAAAAGCAAAATTTAATAAATATGTTAAGAATGTAAGCAGTACACAATAGTGAGATCTTTAATACCGAAACCATTTACAAAAAACAAAAAAAAACATAATGAATATAGAGGAAAAATAATATAATTTCGAATTTCATGAGAAACATAGGCATAAATATAGCAGTCATTTTCTATTTCATTTGATTAGGAAACAAGAGGCTTCGTCGATGCATTTATCACCGAGAGCAGTTCAAAGAGTATCCCAAGTATAGGATGTTCATTTATGTGGTATATTATAGATTTCGTTATTGTATATTGCTTAAATTCTAAACAAATTAATTAATTATGGTTTTGTATTAACAATAATCATGTTTTTATATATGTAAAATAAATTAATAAAGCTAAATTAAAATTAAATATAAAAAACAAATTTGTAAATTATTGTCTTCCGAGGAAACGTTAATTCCTTATAATGCACAGTTGCCTATAATTTTGGAATGCGACGCATGTGATTCAGGATTAGGGGCTGTGTTGTTACATCAATTAATAGACGGAACGCGTCACATACTTTATTAGAATCCGAAAAAGTACACTTCGATTGATAAAAAGCTCAAGCACTTTTATTTGATATTATAAAATTTCATTCATTTATTTATAGTAGAAAATTTTTACTTCGAAATGATCACAAATTTTGAGCGATCATTTGAGGAGAAACGCGATCTACCTAAATTCTAATAATCGTTTGACACGTTGGGCCTGGAAGATGCTTCTTATGATTTTACAATAGAATACAGACCTGATAGTAAAAATGTAATCGCCGACGCATTATCAAGACTTCCGATAGATATGGAAATGAATCAAGATTCTAAACATGCTTTGGAGATTCAAAGTATTAATTTGGATGACATGCAATTATCAGAAAATATTCTACGAAAAGTCTCGAAGCAAGATTTAATATTAAAAAATAGCTATGCACATTAAGCAAATTTGGCGAAACTTTGATCGTCATGAAGATAAAGAAATTGTTAATTTCTATAATCGACGGGAATAGCTTTCTGTCTATCGTGACATTATAGAATGGAATTATGGAAGATTGGTAATTCCTAATAAATTAAAAATGTAGTGTTAGGAATGATCCACCGGGGACATCCTCTATTTTTAGATTGTATTGTTGATGGCCCAGATGTGATATTGATATAGAAAATTTTATCAAAATATGCTATGGATGCCAGAAAAATAGACATGGAATTCAAGAAGTACCTCTGTATTCTTGGACTGTAGGTAAGGAATCTTGGGAGCGAATCCATATTGATTTTGCTAAACCAGTGGATTCACGAAATTGGCTAATTGGTGTTGATTCCTACTCCAAATGGCATGAAGTTGATCTAATGCAAAATACCTCTGCTGAGGCTATGATAAAACGATTAAATAAATGGTTTGCTAAGTTTGGAATACCTAAGTACATTATGTCAAACAATTGACCACAATTCATATCTGGGGAATTTCGTCGGTACTGTGAATTAAATAACATATGTCATATACGTTCAACACCCTATCATCCGAAAACTAATGGATTAGCTGAGCGTACAATCCGAACTTTGAAAGATGATTTTACGCAATAAGAGAGTCAATTTCTGATCCAGAAGAAGCTTTGATACAGGTTTTAACAATCTATCGATTGGGGGATCATAGCTCTACAGGGAGATCTTCTGCCTAGATTGTGTTTGGAAGACAATTGAAAACTGGTTTGGACTAGATAAGACCAAATGTATAACAAAGCAAATGAAAGACAAAGTCAAAATCATGATTTACATTCGAAAGGGTGAGAATTCAAGATTTCACAACCTGTGTAGTTAAACACTGAGAACACCAAAGGTTGGAGAAAGGGATGATTAAAGAAAGGGCAGGGTTATATTCTTATATTGTTGAAACTCCTGAAAGAACATAACGGAAATACGCAGATCAGCTAAGAGAGCGTTCAATTATTCCGACGTGAAAGTTCATAGGAAGTTACAGAAATAGTTGTGCTAGTAAATGAAGCAGGTACAAATACTGCATAGTTCATCAAGATACCGTAAATTCACAAAGACGTTTAATGAGGAAATCTAACTTAAAAATGTTTGGAGGAAATGTAATAAATTTGTATTTATTATTTAAATGTAATAAATTGTTATAATTTAAAATATAATAAAACGATATAATGTAATCCATCGTAGTTTTCTAAATAGCTATTCTAAATGCTAATTAATAGTCATTTTATTAAAAATGTAAACTATTTTATTTTTTTTATATTCAATATAGAAATTTTTGTGAACATTTTAGCGTAATCAAAAAATTTCCCAGCACGTTTTGTAAAAAATTTTTTGTTAGTTTTGAACGATCATCCACATCATTAAAATATATTTTATAAGATCAACGTGTTTGAATGATGATATTTCAGAAGATATTAACATAATTCGTTTAAATAAAATTTTCAAAATATAAATATAATATTTTTTTAAATTGTATTATATTATTCTAATTCTATTCAAATTATGCTGATAAATTACTTTTTGGGTGAATACTAAAATAAATTTAATTTAAAAAATATGATATTTCTGTTATTTTAATTAAATTTTATAAGTCATTATTTTTCTACTAACCCGGCGAAATGTGTTCAGAGATTTTTCATTGAACCGGAATTCTAACTCTTTTTTTAGGAGGCTTCATATTAATACTTCGCATTAATAATATTAAAATTTAATTCATTTCAAATTAAATTCATGATAATGGGGCAAATATCAACATTTATAATAAAATTCTTCAATTTTATTGAATTTGACGATAGTTTATTCATATCTAGTAATAAAATTAAATGCTTGTTGAAAATAACTTTGGCTCGAGGATAATCCTCCTTCGGAGTATACTTTTTATAATTATCATTCTTTTATTATAAGATTTGATTTTAATCAAAAAAATTAATTTTTTTTATTAAAAATTATGGTTATTTGCCACAACCTCACTCGGGACCGAAACAAATTTACGATTTGAATTCCTCTTAAAATTTAAAGATACGTAATGAAGATGGTCAATGACCGGATGAAACTCAAAAGGTCGGATCGATATTAAATAAAACTAAACCACTATTTTGAGTCATGTGAAACCTCTATGAAAATAAGTGGACCTAAAAGACCTCCAAAAAAAATTTGTGGCGGAAAACCCCGCCAAATAGTTTTTCTCTCCTTATTGGAAAATCTTAAATATGCATATGCTGAATCCAAACCCTCTTTTTATATTTAGGGTTCTTTATTATTAATATTAACATTTTTTCTATTATATATATTTAATGTTAAAATTTTTATAATTATACCGCGACATTTTGATAATTTTTTTATAATAGATAGTATATAATTTTCAGAATTGTTAAACGCTACTTTTAAAAGCAGCGCGCTACCGCTATCGCTATTTGTCAAAAAATGTAGCTCGCTATTAGCTACTATTTTTTAAAAGTAGCTTTAGCTACTTTTTAAGCTACCTTTTATAAAAAAAATTTACAAACTTATTTTTTGCTTTATAATGTTATTGTTTAGTAAATATATAAAAATCAACATTTATAAATATTAAAATATAGTTAGTTTTGATTATAAAAAAATTTATGTAATAAAAATAAATATTTATGGTAATTTGTTTCATTTTAATAAATCATTTCAATATTATCATCCCCAAGTCTAGGGCGACGATCAGAAAGTATAAGTTTTGCCTTATTAAATAATCTCTCGACACTAGCACTTGAGGGTAAGGGCGTATTTAATCTTACATACATATTTTTAATATAAGATAGATTATCAATAATTTTATTTGCAAGTACATCGTATGTCTGGCATCCTATTATCATTTTGAGGGCTAATGCCCAAGATCTTCTTTTTAAAGTTCTAGGGTCTAGCCAATGGCCTGTGATTCCCAAATAAGCTCAAAAATATTTAATCAAATCAATTTATAAATATAAATAAGTTTTTACCTTCTGTTATGTGTTCAACTATCTTCCGTGGTACATATATATGATATCTCTGATAACTCTACCATTAGAGCATCTTTCATCATTTTAACGTTATCTGCTATTTTATTCATTAGTGTCTGGCGACATAAAATTGTTGTACGTGGATAGATTTTTAATCATCATGGTAAATGATGGATTATCAACTAAGGACATTGGCTGAACTGTATAAATTATAAAATCAACAATAACTTTATCAGCCAATTTCTGAGAAATATTGTCATTTGCATTAATTAATTTGGTTTGAATTAAATTAGTCTTTTTGGATGTAGAATCGCCTATACCAAAATTATTTAGATGTTTCTCCATTTCCTCAAAACTCATGAACAGTCTTATAAAATAAATATTATTAGAATGTAAAAATGACAATTTACCTTTAGGTGTTTCTTGAGGTTATAGCTACTAGATTGATTTGAGGAAATATTTTTTTTTACATTACAAATAAATTTGAAACCAGTTTTGGTTATATATATTTTTAAAAAAATTTTCAAATCTAGGGAATGGGAAATTTGTATTATAGCTATTAAGAACATTTTCTTCCCTGGTATCTTCCATTTCATTAATATCATTGTCTGAATTTCTTTCAACGATTTGGATATCCATAGGCGATGACGTTTTAAATTATTAACACGTGATTTAGGTTTATAATACAAATGAAAATATAAATTACAAATTGAAATTATATTTTAATTTCAAAATTAAACAATAAATCATAAAAATTATAATTAATTATGATATTATATTTATATTTTCATGTTTACACTTACCTTCATTATATTTTTTTAAAGTAGCGGCTACTTAGCTACTTTCAAAAAAAGTAGCGCGCTAAAAAATAAATAATTACAAAACAGGTAGCCGCTATTAGCTACCAAAAAAGTTAGCGCGCTACTTTAACAACTCTCATAATTTTATATATATTATAAATATTTATTGTTCTATAATGGATTATTTGATTGGCTAAAAAGGTTACTAAAAATGACTGTAAATAACTATAAATAACTATAAAAAAAAATTTTTTAAAAAAGGTGTGAAGTCATCCAAGGGAGAAATGGATGGTTAGGTAGATAGATTGACAAATCTTTATGGAAATTCTCTGCCATAGATAAAACTCCTAAATTGGATCTGCAATGTCTGCATTTTTTTCCGGGGCGTTTGATTACTTGGGTGGCTTCGTCCCCAAAGATTCCCAAGATTATGGCCATGGTAATATTTTGAAGGTCGGAGTATTTGTTTTTTTAAATTTTCGTGCATGCGTCAGGGCAGTGTGAATTGTTTGATTTAGCCAAGAAATGAATGTAAGTAGTCAGATAAAAGCAAGACTAAATAAAAGAAAATGCGTTAATTTAATATTAATATAGAATCGTGAGCCTATCGAGATGATTTAGAAAATGTACTTTTTACTTTAAAATAAACTATGAAATTTTAAAAAAATACTTTCATGAAATACGCGCGCTCATGCGACTCCTAACGTGCTCTCGATAAATGCGCTATTTTTAAATAAACAATCATATTTAGCTCATTAAAATAAAGGATTCAGAAAATGTTAATATTAAATTTTTTATAACTTAGTGATCTTTTGAAAAACCACATATATTTTGACCAAACTAAGCATCCATTTGCGACTCCTATTAAAAAGGTTCTTGAGTTAAAAATATAATCATGTTTAGCGCTTAAGGAGATTTAGAAAATTATAATAATTTTTTTTTTTAAATTTAAACTAAACTATGCGCTCCTACGTGACATCTATTAAAGACCTAAATTTAAAATAAATATAGAATCGTGTTTTAGCTTATTGTGATGATATAGAAAATGTTATTTTCAATTTTTAAAAAAATGGTAAATTAGTAAAATATTAACACTTAATGGATTACTAAAAAAATATCCACCCCCAACGAAGTATTATGCATCCTAGATAATTATACGCCATCTGGACCACAGATCTGGTTCAGGAATTTTTGAAACATAATCCAAACCATTTATTTAACGAGGGTTGACAGCATTAGACATAATATTTTGAATTTTTTGGATAAAAACACCTATGCAGTAATTCAATGTTAAAGTTTTTTCTGTGAGGCTCAGAAATTGTGCACATTATATTTTGATGTATACTTTTAACCTTTAAAAACTATAATTTGGCTTAAGTTGACAATTCAATCCTTTAGGTCATAAAAATTAGCTATCGAGCTTCGAATAGAATTAAGGCAAGTATGACTTGATAAACTATTTAACACTAGATAAGAGTCAAACCCACTATGAAGATCATTCAAAAATGAATACATATCAAATAGTGCATTATCATTTGATTCTTTGAATAATCAAATAAATTACTTTTCATATTTATACTAAAAAATTATTATTTAAATAATTTATTTTTAATAAAAAAATAATAATCTGATAAAAAATATGTGTCTTTGATAATCCATTTGGGGAAGGATAGATAAAAAAAATTGTATATCTGAAAAATTTTTAAGTTTCATAGAAATGACAATCCATAAAGTATATCTTTTTAATTTACTTCAGTTTAGGATTTGTATTTTATAAATAAATATATTAAAAGTGGGCCAAGCAAACTTAGTAAAAAAATTGAAACCAGCAGGGTGGATAAAAATTTGGACTGGCAAGAAACTAAATTCCCATCAGGTCAGGCTACCTGAAAATTTTGTTATTTACAGACCTCTAATGCATATTAATTTAATTTATACCAAGTCAATTTTTAAGGTAAATAATTTATCCTTTATAAGACATGGAAATTTTGACAATAAATTAACTGAAAAATCCTTTTCATAAGCAGTGATGTTAAAAAAGTTGTTAAAATAGTAAAAATTTGGCTTTGAAAAAATGGAAAACATAAAAATAGCATAAATTAAATTTCCAAGAAACAATTATTTTATTAAATTTTTAATGATTATTAATTACATAACATAATCAAAAATTCATTAATTAATCTTTTCTTCTTTCAGTACATCTTTTTTCAATGGCCCCTAAAAAAATTCAATGACATTTCTATATTTTATTTAAATAAACCATAAATAAGGCTTTATCTTGATGGGTTTGGAATCTTCCATGGCCAAATTTAGAAGATGTATCAATAAACTTAAGGGTAATTTTCTCAAGGGCTGCACGTTTAGTTTGTGTTAATAATGACTATAACAAATTATTAGTTACAGTTAAATTTATAATTATACTTTTCTTAGAGTAATAACTCTTTTTTTGGCACCCATAACACATCCTTTTAGCATTATATAGTCATTATTGACTTCACCGTAGTGAGGAAAACCACCCTATAATAAAAATTTTATATTATAATTCTAAATATAAATAATCAGAAGGAAGGCAGTGCCTAAATTTCATGATAATCATATATCTATTCATCACATAAAATATATTACCATAGGTGTAATGGACTTTTCTGTTATATCATACTCAGTTGATGCATTATTTTTAATAATTTTGCCATCTTTTTTGTGAATGCCTAATTTTTCATATATTATTTATAGGTAAATATTTGATAGATATATTACCTTGCCCAATCCTAAATATTTTTTTGTTTATTTCTGTTCTATGATGATACCCCTTTTGTCCAGCTCTAGCAACAGTAAATTGAACTCTACTTGGATGCCATGACCCTATACAAGCTACTTTCCTTAAACCTTTATGAGTTTTTCTAGGCAATTTTTTTGTGTGCCATCTTGATGTTACACCTATATTTTATCTATGCATAAATACTTAAATATTTAATAACCTTTAAATCCTCTTCCTCTCGTCACACCAATAACATCAATCATTTCATCTTGAGAGAATATTGATTGCACAGGAATTTGTTTTTCTAAATGCTCCTTTGCCCATTCTACCTTTTCAGGAACAGTTCCTCCATTAACTTGAATTTCTAATATATGGGCTTTTTTCTGACCTTTATGCAATAATTTCATCTATAAGATTGTGGTAATATATTTATTGAATGATAAACAAAAACTTGTGTGTGTGCTAATATACGTATAGTAGAACAATATTTTTTCATTTTATCCAAATCCTGATCTATTTCTTTCTTTCCAATTTCATCTTGCCATTTTAAAGAATATTTCGAAAAGGCTTTCTTTTTACATTTAAACCTATAATTAATAATTATAGTCTCATTATATCAAATAAGCGGAGACGACTTATGATAAAATGTAATATATAATAAATTATAACTATACCAGTTTTTGTAAAATCTGCGTTTACAATCTTCACTCAAATGCTCTGCAAATATCGACTTGAACTTACGTAAACCTTTGGGTGTATTAATGTAGCCTACAATACCAAATATAGCCATAGGAGGAGCTTCAATTATGGTAACTGCCTCGACGACTTCCTTTTTATTCACCTCTAAATTATTTTAAGATAAATATAACATAGGTATAATATTATAGATTAACTTGATCCAGGTTTATCCACTTCTCTGACAATATGAGACATACCAGCTTTGAACCCAATAAATGATGTTAAATGTATTGGCTTAGATGGATCATCTTTTGGAAATGCCTTTACTTTACCACGATGTCGTATACTTCTTTTCTTGGGTACAAAACCCATATGACCATGTCTTGGCGCTGAGAATTTTCTATGGGACTAAAAAATCAAATTAGTATTTAACCTATGAAAATTAATTTTACCATATCAAAAAATAAATGTGACGGAAGTTAAATATCTATCTATGTTAAATCGGGTTTATAGATAGCAATTTATTAAATTTAAAGTGTTTAAATCTTAAGTTTCTAGAATAATAAAATATAATAAAATAGCTTAGATCAAAAATGAAGGCATATAAATTATAAACTTAATATCAGTAAATTAATTATTACATGCATATAATTTTAAAAACTATATTTATAACATTTAGCAATATAATAATTGTAAATAAGAATTTATATAATTATAAATTAAAGTGATAAATTATCCTACATTATAATACGTTCATTATCATGCCAGAAATTGTATGAAATGCAATTTCATCACCCTTAAAAGGAGTTGAAGCGTGAACTATGAATTTTCACTAATATATAGATGCCATACATCATATCTATAAATTTAATTATAGAGAAACAAACCTCTATATAGTCTGATTGCAAAGGCATATGGGAGAAATAGATATCGTAAATATTATTCGTTTTATTTCCTGGGGATAGTAAAAAAAATTAATTTATATTGTTAATATCAATTATGTGATAGTATATTTTATTTAAATAAATATTTGATGAATTATTTTAATTAGCTAAACTTTATTTTTTTTATTTCATATGACCTATTTCTTTAGGTATACATAAACTTTATTTTTTCCTAATTTTTATATTACAAATGTTTGGCGTGGCCTTAATATTTTTTTTCTTCCGCTATATTATTATTATTTGAAACTTAATTTTATGAAGTTCTAAAATTTACACTTTATTTGCCATTACTCATTTTATAAATTTTGTTTTAAGATTTTTGAGAATATATTATTATTTTATTTTTATGTTAATATTACTCTTATTTGAATATTATTTATATACTTCTACTTTCTATATTTTAACTTTTTTATTTAAAATTATAAATAATTAAATTAATAAATAATAGAGAAAAATCTTATAATGGCAGCAGTGGAATTTTACCTACCCCTACGTTAAAAGAGATAATGAAAAAGATAATTAATTACTCTTATAACATAAATTAAACATCAGTTTTTACAATAATCAAATGAATGATTTTTTTACAATTTCTTTTTCAATGTAATAATAATCAAAAAAATATCCAGTGCATAGGATAATTATGTTATTTAGCTCCCAATTATAACGTTGACGCTAAAAAGGAACTTCGATCTCAAGCGATAAAAGAGCGCAAAAATTAATGACAAAAACAAAACGGGAATAAAGATGCGCAGAAGTCGAGAAGATCAGTGGTCACCAAAGCAAAGCAAATACTTTTTATATGAAGAATTCACAAACTTTAATTATTATTATTTATACTATAAATATTGTTAAATAATATTTTTTAATTATATATTTGATCATTAAATAGTATTATAAGTTAAATATTATACATTTGCAATACTAATTTTGAATATCCATATTTGCCTATGTATAAACCTTGTAATATTATATTTATTTTATTCTAATTTTATTTTAATAATTATATTTAATACGTTTTGATTTTAACAACTCCCTGCCTATCCCATAATTTTTTTAATATTATATAAATTTAATTAATATTATTTATAATTATAATTTTAATTTAAATTATGATTTGTGTTCCGTATTTATAAATTAATTTACTATTTAAAATTCATAATTCTTATATTTAAACAACTTAATTATTTCTCTTAACAAATGCGTTAACTTTGTAAGATCTATTTTTTTTATTATTATTATTAAATTGAAAAGAAAAGTTATTTTGGAATAACAAATATTCACTAGATGCTTGTCTTATAAATTTAAACTTTATCATGATGATAATGTTTAAATCATCTAATGGTCAAGCAGAAATAACTTTTAAAAGGAATATGAAAAGAAACATGGGGACAAGTAACATTATTCGATATTTAACATTTATTTTATGTAATTATCGAAACGCATTCAATGCGACAGCCACCACAAGAATTTTGTTGAGAGTTATTAAAACTACTGGATAATGAAAACAAACATTAATGCCTATACTACAAAATATAAAAATTAATGAAGGAGATAAAGCTTGTATATAATGTTTGAATCAAACAGATGGGATAATGGAACTATAAGAGAAAAATAAGGGCTTATTGTATTAAATTGACTCAGGAAATAATAAGAAGAAGATATTTAACAAATTTTAAAAAAGGATCATGTTAAAATTCTATCATTGGATATTTTTTAAAGAAGGAAGTAATGTAGACTATATCTAAAAAGATCAAGAAACACCTTATGGAACAGGTTATATATAGACTAGAATAGGAACAAAACGCTTACTGATGCATTTAAAATATTGTATTATAAATAATATACAACATAGATAAATGCAGTATTATAAATATTTAGAGAAACATTTATAAACAGCATTTTCTATAATTCTTGGACATACATATAAAACGCGAAATATAAAAAATATGAATATAAAATTAAATGGGCGAGCACTCAGTTATCGCAAAATTTCTTATTCTTATTTATTTCTGGAATCATTTATTTTATCCGATTTTGTTCTCTGGGTAATTAATTATTAATGATAGTGATAACTGATTAAATTATCAATGACAATTAATAATTATGGCAAATAATTATAATAATAACACATCGCAAGCTATAAAATATAAAATTACGTAATTAGCAACAGTAACTAACTTTTCAGTTACTACCCAATATGTTTTTATTAAAAATAAGCAATTCACAATTAATCAATCAAAGAGGTAATGCTGTGTTAGGACCAATGGGTCCCCCAGTCTGAATGGGAATAATACAGTCCGTGATCGGGGGTCCGGGATGGTCAATGACTGGATCCAGGGGGCCGGGTTTTATCGATTTAGTCATGGAATCACACAACGTAATTTTCAAAGTTTATTCGAATAAGTGAAATTACAACAAAAAAAAGAAATTCAATTTAAAACGCACGAAAAATAATTCATGAATTAATGGTGTTTTGTTTTCCACCTTTATAATTTTTAAAACAAAAGGGAAAAAAAAAGTTGTTATTTAATCGCGATATAATCATTCATGAAACTGGTAAGAACCAGTTTCAAATGCAATATAAATATAAGGTATAATATATAATATATTAATTTCATAACAAAATAAAGGAAGATGGGAAAACAAAAGAAACAAAAAAAATAAATAAGGGGGGATAGAACATAACACTCCTCTTAAATACGGCTACCCGGCCGTCGGCGCTGATTTCATTCTTAATTCCTGCGAAAATAAAGACGGCATTCGCCACACCGCTGGTTTAGAGCGGATTTAATAACGAAGATAGATCCTACCTTAAGTCAATAAAATAAATAAAACGGCATTCGCCGTACCGCTGGTTCAGAGCGGATTTAATAACGAAGGTAAACCCTACCTTAAATCAATAAAATAAATAAAACGGCATTCGCCGCACCGCTGGTTCAGAGCGGATTTAATAACGAAGGTAAACCCTACCTTTAGTCAATAAATAAATAAAACGGCATTCGCCGCACCGCTGGTTCAGAGCGGATTTAATAACGAAGGTAGATCCTACCTTAAGTCAATAAAATAAATAAAACGGCATATAAAATGAACGGCATTCGCCGCTCCGCTGGTTTAGAGCGGATTTAATAACGAAGGTAAACCCTACCTTAAGTCAATAAAATAAATAAAACGGCATTCGCCGCACCGCTGATTTAGAGCGGATTTCATAACGAAGGTAAATCCTACCTTAAGTCAATAAAATAAATAAAACGGCATTCGCCGCACCGCTGGCTTAGAGCGGATTTAATTACGACTAAATTATGAAAACACGTGGAGGACATATAAAAAAAAGGGGGATTTGTAACAGATGGATGACCACACAAAAAAAAAATCAATATATATATAATCAAAATGGAAAAAAAAATAGGTGTTTTTGTGGAAATACGGCATTCTCCTCCCCTTTTAAATTGGGCTACCCCGGGGTGGTAGGTCCAAGAGATCATGTGGGTTATTTGATATTTGTTGAGTCTGTTTGTACGCAGTCGTTTCGTCTGGTACGTTGGGTTGGGTCGTCGGTATATTTCGAGGAGTATACTGAGAGGAGTTATAATTGTTGAAAGTTTGTTTCATTGGGCAATTGTATCTATTATGCCCCACGTTCCCGCAATTGTAACAGGTTGGGTTATCATTCCGTGGGAAATTCCGACGAGGGGGTTGATAGTAATTCTCTAAAGTTTGCGGGGTGTTTTGTACATGCGCATACTTTGTGGGTATGTTTATTTGGTTGCTGTAGGCGTGGTTCTCGCATTTATTTGGTTAAGCGCTTCGGCCATTTCCCAGGTTTGCGCAATTTTTAACTTCCCTTTAAACGTTATATTATCGGACGTGATTACGTGACCTCTTATTCCGGAGGATTGTATCCCCGTTCCGAATTGGGAGGACAGGAAAAGATCCCAGCTGGGGCCTAGATCGCATTGTGAGGCCAAAGCTATCAAAGCTTCCGCATATTCAGTAATCGTTTCGCCATCTTGCTGGATGCGTTGACGAAGCTTGTTGATTGATAGACCTTTGTTGTTATTATTGTTTCCCAAAATCGTTTTTACGTCCTCTATTGACATTTCCAACATAGGCCTTGGTGCAAAGGCTAATTTTAATTTTGAATATAGGCTGTGACCGCATGATGATAAGAATAAGGATAATAAATTTGCCTCAGGTTGATGTCGGTGGATAAGCATAAAACGCTCATGGTAATGATCTGTTGGTTCTTCCGGGTGGTAGATTATCGAATGTACGTTGGGCGCCAGTCCTGTGTTTAGACCGATGGGTCCCCCAGTCTGAATGGGAATAATACAGTCCGTGATGGTCAATGACTGGATCCAGGGGGCCGGGTTTTATCGATTTAGTCATGGAATCACTTGGACAACGTAATTTTCAAAGTTTATTCGAATAAGTGAAATTACAACAAAAAAAAGAAATTCAATTTAAAACGCACTAAAAATAATTCATGAATTAATGGTGTTTTGTTTTCCACCTTTATAATTTTAAAAACAAAAGGGAAAAAAAAGTTGTTATTTAATCGCGATATAATCATTAACTGGTTCTAACCAGTTTCAAATGCAATATAAAAATAAGGTATAATATATTAATTTCATAACAAAATAAAGGAAGAT